TTAGCCTGATGCTTTAACATTTAATTTACTATATGCTACACTTGCTTTAACCATAAAGTTCCAATTAATAAACAAGTACTTTTCAGCTGATTCTCCTAAAAATTATAGAAGATACCCAACCTCTTTACCAAACTGCAATAAATTTCGGGCTACATTATTTGTAAGCGCACACCTTCATAACTCTCACTTCTGTACATAAAACCTACATTCTATCATCTCAGAAGACATTTTGACAGCGCGGCAGTCTTCAGAACTCTATAACTGATTTGCAGGAACTTGTGGGTTGTAGTAGAAAAAAGTAGCAGCCACAGTTTCCAGCAATTTTAATGAAGAGCGGAATTAGCTTTTATTCTGAAAATTTTCATTATGTAAGTTCTAATTCCTAGTCATTCTCGCGAACGTGTCCAGATATAACAGTTAGTCTGTAACTTGCTAGATGCCATTGATGAATATCAGAATGTTTCTATCGATCCTCCAGATCTTATTATTTCTGTGGGAATTTTGGGTCTGTAAAAAACATCCTTTTGTAAATTGTTGGTTGTAAGCTTGGAAAGCCAAGCGAAATTAATATTACTGTGGTCACCATGGTCGGAAGGAGAATTTTTGTAGCCGGAAATGTCACTGAGATGCGTTTAAACGCCAACGACAGCTAACACCTGTTGCTTTAATAATCTAAGCAGCTGCTCGTAGTCGCTGCCGACGTAGCTGGCAACGTTCTACCGTACTCTAAAATAACCGCCTTCACGTAACTGCAAAAGGCACTCCAGTGACTCCTTCCGTTTCACAGCGGCTTTCGCAGTTTTCGTTGCAAACTGTACAGGAATAACAGTGCGCTTCGTGCAACTCATCATCGTCAGCTTTTTATTCTAGCATCCTTTGCTTCCGTTAATATCCTTCACGTTTAACCGTGCCCGCCGTACTTTGCTGCAAGTATTTTGCAAGTTGCTGACCAAAACAGTACGCATTTCCAGCTGAGTCACTAATGTCCTCAACAAACGAGGTATTTCACGTTTCGCGTCAACGCAACAAATCGAGTAACACAATAAAATTGAAAAGTAGTATCACTTTTACAGCGATATTATGTCATCACTGAAAGGTCATGTTGGGAATTAGTGAAAATCAACAATCATGTATTTGATTTCCTTCTGCTTAGTTTTGTGTTTGAATTGTTCACCTCTCCATCATTTAGTTGATTGTTAAATAAGCAACTTTACTTTTTCATTAGAGCTGGAAAATGTAAAATGTAGAGATCAAATATGCATTAGAGATCAAATATGCATCGAATAAGAGATCAAATATGCATCATTACAACATAAACGAAACTGAATTTTGGAGCAGTGTTTGACCTCACAACCCAATTTCCTAGCAAGTTCCGCTTTTTGGGTAAAGTAAAAATTCCTGTACCAAGTTAACCCAAATATATATATATATATATATATATATCCGCACTTGCTCCTGCGTGCGCAACATTCCACTGCAGTAAGTTTTCCAGGCAAGTCAAGTATGCGCCAATACATCCAAAAAGTGCATTTGTTTTATTATAACTCCTTCTGGACAAAAAAAACCCTGCAAAATATGAAAATTCGATTCTTAGCCTAATTCTGACATTCGCACCGAAAGCAGTGATTTCACAGGTTGTAGATTGCTGTGAAATTAATCGGGTCATTGTTTCTGCGCGATACGCTTCCCATTAATGTGATATATCGATTTCCATGTATTTGTCACATTATCCTTGATCGCAGTGGATAGCTCAATAACAAAAAACCCGGAATATAACGATAGGTTAATTTAAACAGATGATGGTAGTACTGCATCACGATGATTTTTCAAGCCATTCGGCAGAGTACCAAGCTCGGCTTTACAAATTGTTCAAATTGTGCGAGTAACTTGTCTGCACCTAAAGTCATTAGGAAGAGCAAACATCAGATTAAGAAATACCATTTTAGAAAATTTACTTCGCTTTAAATGGCAAATTAAAAGGCCTGTTGCATTCTGGATCTACAAAGTGAACTGGGCTTCCGATCTTGGCTCGTAGGTTAGATTAAATTAAGAATTAGAAGTGGGTTTTAGGTGTTCATTTTGCATTATACGGTGAATCTAAATCTTTAAAAATTTCACATTTTTTATCTTGAATTTAGAAATCAACTGTATCTGAACCCGAAACCATCACTTAGGTTGTAGCGACCTGGAACGTAACCTTTATCGTGCTACTTCTTGCTCAGCCAGGAACTGTGTTTCGAGGTTCACAGTTTCTTAGCTTTCGCAGTTCTGGCGATAAATTGTGCAAGTATGCATACATACACAAGCACGCACTTACATTTGGCCATAATGTATTTTTTGTTCATATAAAAACACATAAAAGCCAAAAGCAATATCTGAAGAACTGAACAAATGAAATAAGATGAAAATAAAGAGACGAAATTAGCCTAAGTTAGATATGACTCTGCATTTAATTATTCTTTTGCAGACGAGCAAATGGCTCGTCATTTGACTTCTTTCGGCCATCACTGCTTTTTTCCTGAACTATAGTAAATTTCGATAGAGTTCAACAAAATCCTTGAAATACATGGGATGGTTCAGTTCCTAAGTCTCAGCAGTAGCACAAATAAATTGGCTCTGAGATTGCTAAGCACATTTAGAGAATAATTATTTAAGCGACTGGGGAAGACTCAAAAGTATTTTCCAAAAAGGAGATAGCATAGTGAAAATAGAAATAGCGATAGAGTACGAACGAACTCGTAGTAATAATAATGAAAATAACAACAGCAATAATAATGATAATAATATTATATTAGTGATAACATCATTATATTAGTGATAACTTGAATGTCAGAAAGCTCTATTTTTTCGCATTTCCTGAGAAGTTCCTCAAAGACGGCAATGAGGAAGTTGGCGAGCAATCCATTCCCACACTATTTGAAAGCGCTATAATTAATTTGCAGCTAGTTTCGGTGCGGGAAAAACAGATTATCAAGATAATTTTTTGTAGATTTCAATTATTCCCAGCAAATAATCCCCTGTCCCTATCTACGCCTGCCCTTCCTTCCTCAGAGGCACTCACTTTTTCCTGCTCTTTCCCCTTAGCGGTTGGTGAAGACGTTAGCTAATACATGTTAGTCTTTACGATAAACAAAGGCACTTTGTGCATGCGCCGAGTGATAACGCCTTTAACGCTAGCGATCGGTTGCTCATGAAACTGCCGACTCTCTTCTCGAAACTCTCTTCAAAAAATTCCCTAATAACAAATGTCATTTGACCCGTAGCGTGTTAGCCGAACCAGCAATGAATCATTATCGAATGAAAAACAAATCGTGGAAAGATTGATTCCCCAAAGGGCTACCTCTTAACACCAGCTTTTTTTGCTCGGGTTAAAACGTGATATCGGTACTAATTCGACATTGCTGAAGTATATTTTTTTTGTACCAGTCCGTCGATTTGCGAGCATTTTACGATGCGTAAAGAAATATTAAAACTTCAGCGCACTGCGAAAATTTTTCGCTCTTTTTTTTCGAGAGAAACAGCTCTACCGCAAATAACAGGACGTTTTCGGAAGAAAAGCTTAAATTTTCCCGGAAAAACATTTTCAGAACATTAGCTTGCTGCACATATTATGAAAAAGAATGTCGGAGCAACGGTACCGTCTGGTTGTGCTAGGTTCTGGTAAAGTCGGAAAAACCGCAATCATCCGGCGGTATCTCTATGGATCTTTTGAGGACAAATACAAAGAAACTGTTGAGGACCTTTATTCAAGAGATTTCAACTTACAGGTATTTGTTTTTGCTTTACAATTTACAAAGCAGTGATATAAATTTTTTTTGCTGCCGTCGAGTGCCACAGTTGCTCCATCTCTTAACTTTGTTGCTGTTAATCCCATCTACCTTTTTAT